CCTAGAGCCAAGATTCCAGAAATCTTGGAGGTGTTGGAATGTCTTTTAAGAATATTGCTGTTGCCTGTGGGAGTGGGAGCCAGGGAGGCATGAGCTACATGCATATATCTGGAGGAATGGTATGAGCATGGGATGTTTATTAGATCCGACTGCAACCAGCAATTAGCTGTTTGAGTCAGAGGATAAAAATGAGTAATAAACCTTACATTTTCAGCATGCAGAGGAAGGGATTGCAGTGGGAAATGCATGCTCGATGTTTTTATATTCAGGTTTGGCCTTCCAGGAAGAGAAGGCTCCAAAAGAATGATAAAAATGCACACCTTTTTTTTTTTTTTCTTCCCCAGGACCTTGTTTCTTCTCAGAAAATGGTGCTTGGCAGAACAAAATAACATTTGGCCAGACCTGAGGGGCTTTTTATGAGTTCCATGTGCGGTGCTGAAGCCTTAGCTTAATTTGCCTTAAATCCCTCAGAAAGATACACATCCTGCATCCACATCCACTCAGCCTGCTTGTTTTTTCAACCTCGTTACTATAACTATTGATTTCTGTTGCTAGTCTGGTCTTATCCTCATGTAAATCGAGTCAGTTGCTACAGTTTGGGTTGTGTCAGGAAAGCAAAATTCACAGCCTCTTTTTAAAAAAAAGGTTTTTCTCCTACTGAAAGTGAAATTATAATTTTGGAACTTAGCATGGAAACCAGCACTCTACCCACAGCTATTTCATGCCCCACAAATTCCTAGTCTGTGGAACTTAACAAAATGCCTTTTTATAACATCAATATCACGCATATCCTAGGTGGCCAGCCCTGCGCAATTCTAGAACTCAAATTGCTTAGTACGTTTTTCAAAAGAAATTGGTTCGGGAAGAGGGATACTCTGTGTTGACATGATGATTAATTTTAGCTGGGGTGGGGGTGGGGGGAGGCAACCCACGCGTGGCTTTAGCGAATCGCCGGGTGAGATGGATCCTTTCAAAACACATGCTAGTCCTCAGCACTCGAGCAGTTTGCACCGTCGCTGAAATTCTCGTTCGGGCCCTTGCACGGCAGGTCCGCCTCCGCCTACATCCGTGCCCGCTCCATCCCCGTCTCCCCCCGCAACCGTGCCTGGTTCCTCCCCGTCTCTTCCCGGACTCGTGCCCGGTCCATCCCTCCCTGCTCCCGAGAGGCGCGGAGCGACGGCTCCGCCTGGCGGGCTACGGAGGAGCCGCGCCCATGAAAGCTCGGCGGGGTGGGCGAGTGCTGCTGGCGCCACGGTGGCCCCCGATAAAAGGAGCATCATCCGTGTTTCTATCCAGAGCCCTCCCGATGCTGCTCTGCTACCTCGTCTTTAGCCGTGCCTCCCGTGCCTGGCTCAAGCTGTTCCCATCCATCCCCCAGCTCTGGCACGCTGCAGCCCAGTAGTGCTTTGTGTTTGCAGAAATCACCGTGACTCCGAGTGTAATGAAGCAGGGGTTAACAAGGGGTGCAGGAAAACGGGGAGGCTTGTTGCTGGTGGCTGGGACAGGGCATCATGATCCATCGTGAACTCTTTCGGACAAGCTCTGGCCAGACTTGTGGACTGGAGGGCCCGGAACACTGAGATCCAGCATGTGGGACCAGGCATTCACCAGGCGTGGACTGCAGCTGGCCCCTTTCTTCACCCTTTCCTCTACTAAGCATGATGCAGTGTCACTCCATGATGTCCATATGTAACCCCCTACTCTTACGCTGCAGGGGCAGAGGCAGCACACTCTCAGGGCTGGGGAAAGGTGAAGGGCTGTTTAGCAGCCATGAGCACTGGGTCCCACCCTCTGGCGGTGGGAGGGACTGAACATGCTGCATTTTGCGGTAGTTGCCGGTGTTATCAGGTGTAGCTGGAAGAGGAGGCTGAGTGCTGCCGGCAGGACAGTTACATTCCTCTCTTCATCCTCCCCCAGCCAGCAATCATAACGTGGACTATCAGTAAAATATCTGTTCTGTCAAAAAAGGCCAATGCCCAATGTAAAAGGGAAGTTTATTGATGGAAAGGTATACATGATTATGCTACAGATCTGGAGAGATGTGCTGTGAAAGGAAACAGAGAATCAGACACTAGCTCAAACGATCACAGAAGTACAATCCCACTGTGATTTGTAAGGTGAAATGGCCCTTTCCAGGACTTCATGACAGAAGAAAATAGGTGCTTGACCACTTGTTCAATGTTTGTGATGGTCCTGCAGGGGAAAATCCAAACGAAAATAACCTCAATGAAAACAAACCAACAGCTGCAGGATACAAAATACAGGTATTTTACTTCAAGATACTGGGTTGCCAGTTCCTTCTGTGGAAGCTGAACCAAGGTCTGCCTGTATCCCTTGGAAATTGTTCAGCAGATAACAACCAGCATAACTGCTGTGCTGAGCAGGTTGCAGACTGGACCCCACTCTACAGCAAGGTAGTATCATGCCTCTGACTATTTAACACACTGCCTCCATGGTTCATGCCACCTCATCATCTCCTCAGATAATGTGCTAACTGTCCAAGGGAAGGTTTCTAGAAGTCCATGTGAAATACCTTGCCTGTGCCCCTGAAGCACAGGCTTCAGAGGGGAGAATTTCAAGGATGGCTACAGGTAGACTGTTGCTTGCTAAGCGTCCGTGCTTTTGAGGAAACTTAGAAGGTATTTCCCAGTCTCTCCATTATTCTGCACTTTGGCTTTCATTCTAGAAGCTAAGCAATTCCCATGAACAGCAACATGGTCTCAACTCGGAGTCCCACTGCCTTGGTACAGAACCTGGCTACTGTCTCTGCCTGCTCCCTGAAAAGTCTCATGGAGTCCTTATTTCTTTGAGAACAGTTATGTTTTACCCACCCTTTCAATCCCTCTGCTCTTGCTGCTTTATACTTCACTTCCTTAGCTGCTTGGATTTTTTTCTGGCTTTCACTTACCTTTTTAAATCATTAGTCCATTTCCTCAACAACCTCTTTGCAAGGTGATGTATACTGAGTAACAGCATACTCTTCTGGAGAAGAAGGAAATAAATGTTCCAGTTAGCCTGGTGACGATTTCTGTGCCTTTCCCTTGAGGGGGATATACCTTACGCATGCTTAAGCTTGAGATCCTTGAAATGTCATTCATTCTGACACATGCATTTTTTTTTTAAATTTCTAGTCACATTCACTCGACACCTTGGGCATGAAACCAAACTCACTGAACTGAAATGAATCTCTCCCCTGGCCCTAGATTCAGAAACTGAGGGAATTCAGAGGGGTGTTGTTTCCAGGACGGCTGGTTCTGAGTCTCCCTTAATGCACACAGTGTTTCTACTGTCCCTCCCCCAAACTTCACACTGGTTAAAATCAAAGACCTACCTGTTTCATAGTAATCATAGATCTGCACAGGAGCTGGCTTGGGGTGGGTCACTATAAAGTCCTGCTCAACTGAGAAAGTGATTTCTTTCCTTTTCTTCTGTGAGATCTGGGAATGAAGGGACAGAGACCACACAAATCTTTTTATTTGTACACCACCATCTGGAACAAACGAGGGGGGTAACTGATTGCATATTCCAAATCCCACTGATGCCACACATAGAGTATGGTACAAAAATTATCTGAAACATGCTTGGAGAGTCCAAAGTGAACCTGAGCTGAAGAGGTATAAGTTTGTTATCCTGCTTGTATTACCTGATTCTGTAATTATTACAGATCCTATTGCCAGAGAAGGAAAAATTGTCCAAAGGGATTGAGTTTAATTCTCCATGATTTCTCCAATGGTCAGGATGATGTCCATGTCCCATTTCAGACATGGACATTATGTGCCACCAAGAAACCTGGGAATCAATTTACAGTGTACATCACTGGGATATTGGCTTTAGTTGTTAGGAACTTTACTTTGACATTTACAATGTAAATTCTGATTCAGGGATTAGATTACAGGTTAAATTTTGTAGTGAACTAGTGCAAGAGAAGTAATGGAAATATTTCTGGAGGAGAATGAAAGCAGTGGTTTTTGTCCTGTTGGAAGGACTGAGCTTTATGAGAAGCCTACCAAGGAGACATACACACAAGAGAACCTCTTTTCTTCTGTTTATCAGCTTTTGACTGAAAGAAGAAAGAGTTTTGATTCATTTCTTTGTGCTTTTTCTGATTAACTTTGTTTTCTAGTTGCTACTAGGGCAGGTCTCAGTTTGAAGCTGTTTGGAAAGCTGGAAAATTGGAAAGTTACATGCAGTTTGAGAAGTAATCTGCCTCGTGATTATGGGGGAAAACTGATGAGGAATACAATGTGACAAATGCATCTTATAGAGTTTATCCATACTGTAGTTGTATCTATTATGTGCTGTTTCCATTCTTTGTGGTAATCAGATAGACAGTGACCAGAACTTACATTTTGCAGATAAAGAAGAACGTGATTTTTCTTGTTTTCTACTTGCATCACTGTGTTACTGTCAATGAGCTTTAAAACACGAAAATGAAGATAAATATATTTATAAAGCATTATAAAACAAAGTACTACCTCAGCCTTTATCATTGCATGGCTGTGAGATTCATTCTTCTCCTAGCCAAGTATCAAGGGCTGGTAGCTGGTTTTTAGAGTCATTATTGAATAGATGGAAAGGATAGAGAAAAACCTACCACTTGACTTAGCCATGTGTATGAGCACTTCCCAAATGCACAAGTCACTGCAATTCATTTGGGGAATACTACCTGACTCCAGTGTGATATATTTTTCAGGGCTAGTCTGATAGGTTTCCCAGCCTTTCGCTACCTGGGCAGTGTCAGCTCCCTGTTGCAGCTGCCTGCTGATCAGTCTTGAGCTGAAACCCTTCCTAGTTTTTCATGTGGGAAGGTCTGTGTGTTTGAAGCTCCCTGTAAGGCATTCCCTCCACCCAGTAATGAAGACAGTGCAGCCATGCAAACACCTTGAAGGGTTTGTGACTGAGCGATTCTTAACCACGTCTCTGTTTCTGTCATGACCAGCCTTCTCCTCTGTCCCTGCAGGGAGTAATTTAATCTTGTTCCTTTAATTTACCTTATCCAGGGAAGACTTAACAGGAACAAAGCCAGAGAGCATCTTCACATCAATAATGAGCATGTTGGAGCTGCTGCGCTTCCCTGTGTAACTGAAACAACAGGGGCATCCGTCAGTGTGGATCATACTTGGAGAACCAAACTTTAGCTCCCTGCTCCTGCCTTCATACAGCGTGGAGAGGATGGTGTGAATCACATGCACTTGCTGACTGGCTCAGGTGGGAGACACTGGTGAGGCCCCGGTGTGAAGGGGCCAAGTATGTGCTACCACCATCAGTTACTGTCACGAGGTCTTTTGGGATATTGTGTCTTACAGGCTGATATCATCAACATATTGATTGGTTCATGTTTCTTGACTTCATAAGCAGAACTGAAAACACACAGCAATGTTCTCTGTGTATCTTGTCATCTGTGCAGCTGGTTTGTTGCTGGTGCATTACCTGCTTGTGAGGACAATATCGAATTTTGCTGGTCGATCTGGTGGGCAGGAAGCATTTGATGTCTCTACAGAAAGCAGAAATCCAAAGGCCCCCTTTGGAAGGTGAATGTTGTATCTCAGTGTTGTCTGGAAGAGAAAAAACCCTTTTGTTCAAGCATGCCAAGGATTTTCTTTGTATTAAAAAAACACAAGTGTCAGACTTATGAACTTTTCTGGCAATGTTGCACTTGGTTTTATGTGGAAGATCCTTGCTTACATCCATGATGAACACATCAGACTTCTGCTCTTTAACAATGAAGGTGCTTGTATGCAGAATCACCTCTGAGAAAGAAACTAGATGCTGAAGAGAAAGGACTCTTTTTCAATGCCATAACTCTGCAGGAGTCAAAATGTGGGATGGGGAAAAGAGTATTTTATGGTTTAGGGAAATTAAGGAATTAGGAAAAATAAAGAGAAGTCAGCTAGAAAATCATCAAAACTGTGGCTGTATTGTATACAAAAAGCGAGGTACAATGAAGAGAAGAGCAGGCATTTACCTGCATAAATACGCATCCACTGCCATTCACTTTTAGGCTGTATTTCCCAGGGACCTCAGGAAGGGGAGTCTGTTGCAGCAGGAGCCTGTTCTCATTGTTGACAATAAATACCTTCTCAAAAGGCTTTTTGGAAGTGATCTTCACTCTGTTTTGTGTAGCAGAGTTGTAGATGGCCTCACCATAAGCAGCAAGGGCTTGAAGAGCAATGACTGTGTCCTGAAGAAAAAGAAAATAATAAAAGACAATTAGCTACGCGGCATGACCAGTGCAGAGGAGATCAAAGTCACAATTCCAGTCGCTTCATCCTGGCTAAAGAAAACCTGAATCTGTGCATAGTTCCATGGTTCCCATACAAAAGGAGCCATTTCTTTCTGTCATATATGTTTTAGGGTGGAAGAAATCTCTCTCCCCATACAAAGGTTTCAGAACATAAAATCTGAGCACTAGAGCACACTTCCAGAGTTTTTCGTAGTGGTGAATCCTGTGTTTTCTGGGGAACTGCACAGCACTTGTTGGTCATATAACAGCTGGAACTTGGTGTTTTCTAGGCTCATCCCTGCTAAAAATATCTGTATTTGTTGCTAGACAAATTACTCTTGTATGGCTTTCACCATTTTATAGTTAAGAAGAGAGGGAAAAATAGTAGTTTGGTTTCTCTAAGAGAGAGGTGTTTGGTCTCTGTGTGTTTTAGATGGCAGATGGAGAAGCAAAATAAGAATAGGTAGTCAAAGCCTTGCTGGAACCCTGAAACAGTGTCCCAATTCCTAGGACTGGGTGGAGAGTGGAAAGTAATTTTGGCACCTGCGTAGAAGAGAAACCTCCATAGGGATTCTGCTGCCTTATGATCCACTGCACAATCCTCGAGGCCTTTGTGAAATCCTCTTTATCCCAGCTGGGTTTGTAGAACAATGCCAACAACACGTAACTGGTGATCTCAACTTCAGCTGATGGGGCGTGGTCAAGGAAGGAGGGAGATTCTTCTGATGGAGACCTCTCCTCCTGCTCCCAGTGCTGTGAGCCATCTGAATAAGCAAAGAGAGGCTGAGAAGCAACCAAAATTGATTACAGGTGCCACTGCTCTATGCTGCCTCAGAGGCTTAACTGTGTCCTAACCTCTTCCTCAAAAGTTCTCTCTGAAGACCAGTGGATGTACTGTAGATTAACTCCATAGATTATTTGCGGAATTTATTTCATGTGCCCATACTCTCAATATTGTCAAGGTTAGATTCCAAAACTCTGAAAATGACTGAAACTCACCAACTTCCTTTGCTGATTTCTGTAACTCTTCAAGGAATGATTCACATTTTTCTGCCTTGCCAGCTAAGCAGAAAGCATAGGCCATGAGTGCCTGAGTGTAAACATCACTGATACTCTTCTCAGATGCAGTCTCCAGACAAAAAAAGGCATTTCGGATTACATAATCCTTAAAACCAAAAAGCACATGGGTCTAATTCAGGACAGTAGTTTGCACCTGGTCAAAAAATTTATTTTCTTTAAAACTGTTCTTCATCCTGTCGCTATCACAGCAATGAGAATGGAACTTCAGCTTGTATAATGACTTCAGGAGAGAGAACAGAGAAGTCTTCAAGGAAGATTTTAATGGGAAACATCAGACAAATCAAGTACTGCTAATCATGTTCTTGAAGAGGTTGGTCTCTAAACAGAAGACTGTTATGTTTCTTTCCCACCTAATTCCTTCTGCTTACCTTCATGATAATAATTCACTCTGCACTTCTGTAGTCAAGAGTTTGTTTTCTTGAACAAATCTAGCCTAGTAGTTTCTATCCTCAGTGATTCTGTTGTAACTTTAATTTAATTGTGAGGTTGAACTAGATGTATATCCGGTAAAAAATGCACAGTTTGACCTTGTGTCCTCACTAATGCACTAATCAAGGAGGTCTTCAGAAAAGATATGACAAATTGGAGGCTAACTTATACATTTAAGTCTAACATCTCCTATGTAGTCTCCTTTGTATTAACAACTTTTTGAAAAGGACAAATTAGCTTTTGCTGGACCTTTGTTTTTCCAATGTAGCTTTTAGTTACATCTGTAGATTTTATGGATTTACCGGCAACAAATTACTTTCTTGACTTGGCCATGTTTGAGGCTAAGCCATAGCGTGTGGGTTGCTACCTGTCATGTGTAGCTTACTAACTGTAAAACTTTTTTATTAGAAACTAAAAGGTGTTACTAAATGTTTTGGGTCTCCCAAACAGATCTAATACCACTGGTTTGTACCATTTCTAGTTGAACACTGGTGGCTTAAGAGGTACAGAGACAGGGACCTTCTCTGTCACAGCAACCAGTGCAGATACAGAGCACGGTCACGCTACCCTGGGAGATCTGTCACCCTTTTTCTCTCTCTTTACTACTTAGACAGATGCTGGAGCCAAGGCAACAGCTGGAGACAAAGTCCAGCTGAATAGCAGAAGCTGAAGGCCTCCTTACCAAGCTGGAGTGCCCGGCTTCTAGCATGGCAATGGTGGTGTAGGCAGAAAGCGACAGCTCGTCATCTACTCCTCCCTGAAAAGGACATGGAGAGGGGAATAATCAGTGAATGCCACAAATGAGAAGTCTTTAAATATGAATTGCCACATCCCAGCTGCGCGAGTGTGGCCAATTCTGGAGACAGTCCAAAAGGAAGGAGAACATTTGCATAGCTCTTAAATAGCTCATGAATCAAGAGAAGCCCATTGCTATCAAATAAAAAAACATCACTCCTTCAAGCTTCCAGTGCTTTAAACCCTATCTCAGGTGCTCATAAGATGTAAAATATAGTGTAGGAAAGCTGACTGACCTGGAAATAGTCATTGTAAGATGTGGAGAGTTAGGCCTTGGAAGAGGGCAGGCATTAGGAGTGAAATACAGTATTTGGTAGTAATGGGAGAGAAAAAGTCTAAATTTGATGAAGAAGTAATTCTCTGCTACCTTCAAGGCATTGTTGAAGAGTGTCCCAACACTTCGGAAACAGCCATCTGGCTTCTGTTTGCTTGCCAGCCACATAAAGGTTTGAGACTGGGCATTGTCATCAATATAGATGAAGTGACTAGCTTGTGCAAATGATCTGTACACAAAGGCAGTGAGCCTGCAAGGGAAAGATGAAGCTCTGAGATGAGCACTGGAAGTAGAAATAGGAAAAGTTAGCCCTCCCATTCATGCTGTTCCTGATCATGAAGAGTTACAGCCAGAATGTTGGTGGCTTGCTTTCTCTTTGTGTGCTCATCTGTGAGAGAGCAGTTAAAGGAGTAGTAGCTAGATGGGACATGGGAAGGATGTCCAGCACACTCTGAGGCTGGTCCTGTCTATAGAGCGCTGCAGTGCGATGGGTTTCATGAGGGACCGCAGGAGTGAAATCAGAAAGTCAGCTGGGTCTTTAGGGATCAACTTAGGGATAAACTCTTTGTGCACCCTGCCTGGTAGGAGATGGAGAGACATTTTTCTTAGTACTTACTGTGTCTCGGTCCTAGACAGCTCTGTACATCTGATTTAGCTAGTGAAGCTGCCTCTTACCTGCATCATGTGAATTGAATACAAATGCAGCTCTGAGCCATTTCTGCTCCTAGTCACTCACCAAGTATTCCCTTCTTCATCTCTGGTGCCAAAGATGCTGTAGGACCCATCAGGATGTTTGTACGACAGCTGCTTCTGGTAGCCTATAAAAACATGTAAATAGAAGTGTTTTCAGGTGTAAAAACAAAACCCTATCTTGTTTGCAAGCATATTTATCTGAAACCATAGTGGAAAAGAGTGGAGGGGCAATGTGTATCTAGAAAGTTGGAGGGGAGCCTGCGAGATCCTATAGGTGGAAGTATGGAACATTTTGTGCCTCAGAAACACTGAGTCACAGAATAAGCCCTATCTATCAGCTCAGTGCTCCAACTAAACCAGCAGACTTAAGATACATACTGGACCTGAGTGGAAAAGGAGAAGGGGACTGAAACACAAAACCACGGCAGCTGAATGTCAGCAAAAAGGGATGAGAGAAGAAGATAAAGTAAAAATAAAAAACGTCTTGATCAGGGCAAACTCTTGGGTTGCTGAGCTGTGCTACAACAGTGGTGCCATCTGCTAGGATAACCCTGCTACTGCTTCTGCTCACTGGGCCTCAATAGGAATTTCAGCATACACTGTAAGGGAACCGAAAAGCTCTCACCGCTCACTAAGTATCCAATGGCCTTGGATCTGACCTCCTCACTCAGCTGCCCCGTCTTGTTCAGATAGTTCAGGACGTAGATGTTGGGTGCAAACAGGACCATATTCTGCTCTCCACAGCCAAAGGGCATCTGGAGGAGCTGGTGCACATTCTGTGTTGCAGTGCCCATGATGTCACCTGGGGAAGAGGAGATGTGAGGGCAGGATTAAGACAATTTATGGCCACTGAAAAAGACAGTAATTTCCATTCCATAGGTAGAGGCATAAAAGCCTAGATGGGGTGGCAAGCCTTCCCAACAAGCATGAAACTCTCAGTGTTGAGTGATTTTTTTCTGTTCTGCTTTGCAGTCAACAAAGAATCCCTTCCCTGCCTCTCCTTACTTAGTTTCAAGTGCCCATACCAGAAATACTACTTATTTTAGTGCCACTTCAAGCAGATACTTCTTATTGAATATGAAAAGAGCTTTCAGGAAACTTCTGTTCCCAGAGAACAGAAGGGAACAGCCAGAGATACTGCATTGAACAATTTATTACAGAATTAACAATTAGTGCTGAAAAAAGACATTGGTTAATGCAGATGTATCATAGGCCACCTCTAAATCATTATTTTTAGGAAAGGTAGCACAGACCCAGCAAAAGATTTCTGGAATGGGCTGAAATCACCCACATTAAAAAGCAAAGATTTTATGACTGAGTCATGTAACCCAGTCCTGATCCTGAAAAGACTGAAAAGACTCTACCGACATCTCTGATTTGCAGGTCATACAAACGTGCAGGTTTGTGTATGTGGAAAAAGTTGTACTGGCCTGTGTTTGGCTGAGGTCATAGCTCAGAACTGTGCTGCTACTTCAGAGCAAAACATTCAAATGCAATAAATCTAAACAGAATAGTGAGGAGTAATGTAACTGATATTTAAACTACTTCTTACTGATGCAGAGCATTGCTGGATAACATCAGAATCAGTCTCTTTTCTCAGAAGTTCCCACATAAGGAATGGAAACTCACATTTTGAATCCTGAAAGAGCTTTAATTTTATAATTTTCACATTTCCTTTATTTTTTTATATTATATTACTTATATATTTACCAACAACAGAAAAGGAAGCTCTGGCTGATCCTTCCAAAACATTTGTAGGTAGATCTAGATCTATATCTTGAATAACCACATCATCTGTGGAGAAAAACATGAAGTGCATTGTGGTAATTTGTATAGGAATATTAGTTATAGCAGTGAAATACTCCTAGTACCAATTGCACGGTACAAAATTGTACACAAGAGACAGCAATAAACTGAAACTCACAGCTGTCACCAAGAACATGAAGAGAGAAGAAGGCACAGAAAAATCAAACTTGTGAAAAATAAATCAGTAAATGGAATTGCTCAATAGAAAACAGCAGAAGAGGGAAGGTTGGTGCTCACAGGTTGTAGTATCTGTGAACCCTGGGGATTTCTTCAGTGAGACAGTGGGGAGAGCTGGTTGGTGAGGGTCAGAACTGCCTTTGTGCCTCTTTTAGGCCATCTAGGAAATTTTGGAAACTGTTTGCTGTCAACACTGTGATAGTGTGAAAGGGAACATCCTATTTGCTCTGCCATTCCCACTAGAGGTGGAAAGCTGTAAGCTATAGGTATCCTTGGAATAGAGGACAGCAGTCAACATGAGTGAATGAAACACAGGACATAATTTGCACAGAAAGGTCATTTCCCTTTGACAGCTTTATAGTAGCCTTCCTTCAGCATCTGAGCACATCTGACTGAGGCACTACATCAACAGGAATTTGGTAGCAGGGAAATGGACTCTAACACTCACACTAGCTGTCATTTGGACAACTCTGGGGAAGAAAGTAGGGGCAACATCAACAAGCACTGAAGGAAAGAGTGAAAACTCCAACCTTCCTTTCAGTTCCTCTCAAGACAGCTGTATGTAAGACTAAGACCCTTACCTTCTGTACAGATAAGAGAATTTTGAGTCTTTTCCCTTCTGATGCCTTCAGGCTGCATGGAGATGGAAAGAAGAGGAACATGCAGTGGGTGAGAACAAAGCATGCAGAAGAAATGCAGCAACAGAAAAGCCACCCCCTTCCCCAGCCTCCTATATTGTAAAACAGGTGTACTGAAGCAACTGTTTACAAGTCCCTAATTGATACAAGTTCCTAATTGATGTGGCTGCTACTAAAAGGGAGTTCCTATCAGATGGAGTTGCTCATTCCCAGTTTCTCCTCTGTGTGAGGGAGACATGCACTTACCAACACCCACTGATTCTCATGGAAGAGGATAACAGATGGGAGTGGACTTGGTCTTAAGATTGAATGGCCAGATCCCATCCCAGCCAGCTGAATGTGGAGGCATACCAGGAGTTCTTTAGGAACCTAAAAACTTTTACTTGCTTTTGGTACTTCTACTGAGGTTTAGTTTCCTCATGAGTACAGGACAAACAATAAGAGCTGTCAGCAGTACCTCAACCAACAGTGTTCTGATCTGGGTGTCCCTGTAGTGAA